AGTGATTTTAAATTAATAGAGGGGTCAGGCAAAGACAGATATGGTTAAAAGGAAATATAAATATACTGAATCTAAGTTAGAAATTTGTTCTGTCGATAAAGGCTGCTAAATTCATTCATAGATATTTAGCTTATTAAAATTGATTACAAGGGTGATGGAAATGAGTTTGGAATTCTCATAAAAGTCTTCCTAAGTAAACTAATGTGCAGTTTATATTAATGCTTTGGTTTATTATAGGTTTTTACATTTTAATTGTAGCATTCATATAAATTGGTGGTTCTGTTTTCTATCATCTAATACATTTAGTATTATATTGATTATTCAGGAAGGTGGTTAACTCCTTAAGATTACTGCCTACAATTCAAGTACGAAACATGCTTAGTTTATATAGCTGGGCTATCGGACTTTATTCCAGCCTTTAAAAGCCACTGATAGCTAACTTTAACTTTTCTAAAAGAGGATACAAATATTAGATTTATTTAGCCAGGACACATTCTCCAAGAGCTTTATAGGTCATTAGATATGTTGAGGTAGGTATTAGAAAAGTAACATTATACCCATTTAGGTACCTATTATAATACTATTTGTATAATTTTTAAAGCTTATTTTGTCTCAGGAGTCACAGAGGGGTAACTTCTACAACCAATATCAAAGTGAAATTTACAGATGCTGAAAAAATTTTAAAAAAACAACAACAGATGCTGATAAAGCTAGCTTTTAGTTTGCTAACTGATCCTTAACTGAAGCTAGGGAGTTCTAAACTTTCCTAGACTTCTGACAGCCTTACCTAGCCTTTTAACTAGCAACCATAGGCTTTATACCCTTTAATTAATTTAATTGCTAATTGCTATACGTAAACTTTTAAAAAATATATATTTTATTGTTTTTTTACAGAGAGGAAGGGAGAGGGATAGAGAATTAGAAACATTGATGAGAGAGAAACATCCATCAGCTGCCTCCTGCACACCCCCTACTGGGGATGTGCCCACAACCAAGGTACATGCTTTTGACTGGAATTGAACCTGGTACCCTTCAGTCTACAGGCCGATGTTCTATCCACTGAGCCAAACCGGTTAGGGCCTTGAACATTTTTATATTAATTGCATTCATCTTTGTCTTTACTGTAGGAACAAAGACTTCTATTTTTGTTGTTGTTGTTGTTCCCTGTGTAATTCTGGATTAGTAAATGAAATAATAAATGTGAAAGTATTTTTTAAATTTATTTATTTATTTGTAAATGGTATGTGTTTTTATTGACTTTATTGGGGTGACATTGGTTAGTAAAATTATATGGGTTTCAGATGTACAATTCTAAATTGTGTGTTCACCACCCCAAGTCAAGTCTCCTCATGTGAAAGTATTTTTTAAAGCAAAAGTATTTTTTGATGTAAAACATTGAGTGGTTATCATTACTACATGTTTCACTTAATTTTGGAGGGAGTTCCTTTCAGTTATAATACCAATCAGCTCTTTACTTGTGAATGTTTAATAGTCATTTTGTAACCTCTTCTAAACTTCAGGTCCTCTATTTCAGCTTGAATTCACTTGCTAACAGGATTAACCTTGATTTCTTTTTGACATTGGAAAAATCTTATAAACTTCATAAAGCACAATTATTCAAAGGCTTTGAGTACTTAAACATCATGTAAGTCTGGCAACATGATATACTCATCATGTAAGTATATCTGCAGGCTTTTGTTTCTTCATCTTAAAAAGTGGGGGTTGTACTCATTCAGTCAGCACACTAATGACAGTAGGTGATCTGTGTGCTGAGGCAGAAACTGGCGGTTAATTATGAGACTTCCCGCCTGAGCTAGCTGCAGCCTTTTCTACATATGCATCTATATTGAGGCAGCCACTTCAGCTGATCTTATCCAAGAAATGAGACTTATTTACCGCATTTGGACAAAACAATCTTTCTTTAAAAACTCTAAATTTATAGTTCAGTGTTAGGGGGAGGGCCTTTTGAACCTTTATCCTTGAGACCGCTACCATTTAAACCTAGACACAATGGCTCCTAACTCTCTAACGTGAACCTTGGAGATATCTGCCACATTGGTTGTCTATAGTCAAACTCATTATCTTCTCCCCATTCCCTCTCTCCATGCCAAACAAAGGTACATTTCCTTGTTTTTTATTATTAATGCTATCATTATTCTACCCATTACTTGCTAACAAAACATCCAAAAAAGACAAAAGTTCCAGGTTACAGAGGAGTTAAGAGCCTAATTATACCAGTGAACACATTTTCAGTCTAGATTTTACTTGTTTTCTGTGGCACTTTAGAATGTTAACCACTCATTCTTTTTCATACTCTCTCAACTGTTCTCTTGTTATCCCAAAAGATTTTGTAAAGTGTTTTCTTAAAAGGCAGGGAAGGAAAATAGACATGGAAGGTGCCAGAGAAAGAGATGTGATGAAGGCTGCTGAATGTTTAAAGGTGGTGATTATGAGAGCCAGGTCCTCAGGACCTCTGCCCTGGAAATTCCAGAATCATCCTGTCATCATTGTTTGTTTGTTTGTTTACTAATTTACTTTAGCTATATTTACTGGGGTAACATTGGCTAAACTTCATGTATATAACTTTGCAATAGTTCTGTATATTCTATCGTGTGTTCCCCACCCAAAGTCTAGTCTCCTCCATCTCATTTGTCTTGTTTAAAAAATCATTATTGGTTACTTAACTGTCAAACATTCCAAGCACGCCCCCACCTCAGGACCTCTGCAATTGCTATTTCTTCTGCTTGAGTGATCTTCCCTGTTATTTGCACAGCCTACCATCTCACCTCCTCAGGTGCCTACCCACAGATCACTTTGGAGAGACTTCTCAGCCCAGCCAATCTAAATAGGGCTCCCCACTTGGATTCTCGCTAGTCCCTTAATCTCCCTCCTTTGTTATTCTTCATTACAATTGACTACCTATTATCATTTTATACTTTAATTTTATATATTTATTTGCTTGTCTATGAATTCAAGGATTTGACTCTTCTCCCTGCCATATCCTCTGGGCCTAAAACAGTACCTGGCTGTTGAACCTTTATCCTTGAGACCGCTACCATTTAAACCTAGACACAATGGCTCCTAACTCTCTAACTCTCTAACTCTCTACTGAGTGCTTATAGTAGGCACTCAGTAAATGTGGTTGAAGGAATAACCTTCACTTGGAAAACCACCTGTTAAAATAAGTCCATACTCTTCAACTTGGCATTAAATGTCCTACACAATAAGACTGTAACTTAGTTTTGCAGTCCTTTGTGGGAAAATAGGGCATAAAAAAGATTGAGGGACAGATCATGGAGTACCTAAATACAGATAGAAATTGTCGGGTTAGAGCTGTGGCTATAATTTTAGTATGACCTGTGGAGCTATAGATCCTCATGGAGTGAGAGTCTTTTCTCCAATCTCATGAATGTGGCCAAGAGGATCAGAGAATGAATGCAGTTACCCTGAGAGCACCCAGGAAGAAAGTCCTATTATAGGGTGCAGCTTTTAAATTAAATGAAGCTAAACTAAGCTGCCCTCAGGTGGGGTACAAGAGAAGGTGCTGAACCTAGGACTCCTTCAAATCATCATGTTGTATGGGGTTATTTGTATCAATGTTTTGTATAGAAATTTCAGCACCTCCTCATTATGTATTGGTTTAAATGTAAACTCCAATCCCTCACCTTTTAAGTCCCAGTCTTTACACAATTGTTTCTTAATATAGAAATACTAAAAAATACTACATGTAATCAATAGCTCACCTAACCAAATTACTTTTTTTTTAAATTTGGGGTATCTTTATTCTTGCCTCTGTGCCCTTTCCTTATCCTATCTCTATCTCTATCTAGAGTTCCTTCAAGAGCACTGTCTCTCACTGTCAAAAATGATATCTTCATTCCATTTATAAACATGTGAAAGTTCCTCACCCCTTGACTCCTTTTTGTCCTTAACATGCGTGTCTCTTACTATAGTCATTTATATAATTTACCTTATCATTCTCTGTGCTTCATATGGAGAAACTTTCTTATAACTGTATAGCCCCATAACACTTCATGCAAAGCCTTGTCTACAGTAGGCATTCAGTTAATGGTTGTAGAATCGGATTAATTCCCTTGAAAATGACTTCAAGATCATCCAAGGACAGTTATAATTTAGACAGGGAGACATAATGTCATTTTGTTAGAGAATAACTTTTGCACCTAATGCTTCTTCACAACTAATTACTGAATGAATAGTGTGCTAGTAACTTAGCTGAGAAGTTTTAAATGTACATGAATATCCCCAGCAGCATGTTCCCCCTTCCTGTGCCCCTGCCGTCTTCCAGTGACTATTGTCAAGCAGGTGTGTAGCAGGTACAGTGCAATGAGCACTCATTTTCTAATAAGTAGAGAAAGTGCTGTTCCAAAAATATAAAACCTAAGAAGACTATTTGGACAAAAAAACCCAGCTACTTTTATTTAATTTTTTTAGAACTGTTTACTCTTTTTAAAATCTTTATTATTGAAAATATTACATAAATCCCCCTTTCCCCCCCTCCCCCATTGATCTTTTTTCATCCCGCTCCTGCCCCACCCTACACACTCTCATTCCATTGTCTGTGTCCATGGATTATGCATACATTCGTATAAGTTCATTGGTTGATCTCTTCCCGCCCCTCCCCTGCCTTTAAATTAATTTAGAGTTGTTTTAGAATAAATCCTGAATGACTGCTGAGTAAATGACAATGTGAACAAAATACCTAAGAAACCAAACCTATACTTTAGCTACCTCAACAACTGAATCGGTTATTTCTGTGGTCACCTGATTTACTATTTGATATTCAATCTTGAAAACACTAGTTTGATTCTCTCACGCAAATGGGTTTATACTTATACCCAGTTGTATTCTTTTATGTGGTTATGGCACAGGAACAAGCAGGAGTTCATCAACTAAAGAAGAATGTCTTCATTTGTAAGGGTGTATAACAGTAAAAAATGGAACATTTGAAATTAACAACAGGGCATTTTTTCCATCTCTAGGGACCAAGAGGAACAGATGGTCTCTCTGGGGAACAAGGTACACAGGGTGCCAAGGTAATCACTGAGCTCTCTGATTTCACATACAGTTGTTACTTTGAGCCCATATATTCTGTCTAAAAACTGAGGCATGTCCTTTAAAAAGTATGGCTCTACATTTTCTCTTAGTCTAAATAAGGAACATACATAAAGTTTTTATCACACACAGAAATGTAATATTTAATATTGAACTGTGTGCATGATGTCTGATTTTTTTTGTAGGTGAGTGTAGGCTGGCATGTTTAACACTGTAATTTACAATCTTATTAACTCAGTTGGTATTGATACTTTTTTAGGGTGAAAAAGGAGATCAAGGGAAAAGAGGACCTTCCGGTCTTACTGTAAGTAGTAAAGCATTTCACATTAAAGATGATCACTTGAAACCTTTCATTTTCCTTGGTGTATGGTTAATATTTGGGGAAGAAGCTACTTGACCCAAACATTTTCTTTCTTATGCAGGGTAAGACTGGAAACCCTGGAGAGAGAGGAGTTCAAGGGAAACCAGTAAGTAATTAAAAATCAGCAATGAACAAACTTGCCTGCTTTACTCTCTGACATAACTGTTGTTTAATATTTAGTATGTTGGACTAACAATTCAAGTTCTTTTCTTCAGTCATTAGATCAGTGTTTTAATTTGGGCAAATTGCTTATTTATTCTGAGCCTCGTTTATACAGATCAGTAAACTGGTGGTTGATAACTTTTCACTCTAGTTATGGTTAGTTTTTCTCTAAAATCCATTTCAAAATAAAAGGATGTGATATTACATAAATATAATGGAATATTAATAAAGCTGACATAACAAGAAACTTCTTTGAGGCTTCTTGCCTTTCATTTTATTTCAACTTGATTGTTTTTTAGACCCTTTCAGTGTGGAGATATGTGTGTCATCAGGCTTTCCAATGGCACTGCTCTGAGAGTTTTTAACATTATGTAACAGTAGATATTTTCTATAATAAAAAATATTTTCAGAAGTATACATTTTTTCCCTAAGAAGCAACAAGTTCTGTGATTATCATCATTAACTGAGGGGCAAAACTCTTTTTAAAGAAAGAAAATAGAAAGATACATATACACATATGTACACAGACATACATATATATTACATATATATAATTTTGAGCATATAAGCTTAAGTGTATATGGGTATTTTTAATTACTTTCATTTGGAATCACAATTTTTAATGATGAAGTTTTGATTTGTAATACACATAAGTGTATGTAATTAAAATTATAGAATTAGATAATATTTTAATAGCCTCCAACTGAAAAGTCCAAGAAGGATAAGAGAAAAATGTTTTAACTGCCATAGTAATTGTCACTGTCACATTTACTTACTCCTCATTGAACTCTGCTGCCCCCTGCCTATTGGTTTTCATAATAGCATTATATTTGACAGTGGACAAACCTAAAATATCAGACCTAAAAGAGAAAAACGACTGTATCCAGGGAAAGAACTTTTGTGTGACATTGTATTATTGGTTGATGTAATCTCCAAAGAATATTCTTTGAATATTAATATTCCTCATCTGAGTTTTTTATATATTAATGTAAATGGTGTTTGTATAGTTTTTTTTCCATTTTACTAGGCCATATACAAAGCTAATATGTTGTAATGAGTGGAGAGACTTGGAGCTCATCAAGTTCATCAAGCCTATCAGATATTTCTGGATAAATGTAAAATTTGATATTTGATTTCTTCAATCTATATATATAAAAGCCTAAGTGACCGAACTACCGAATGACCAGTTGACCAGTTGCTATGACACGCACTGACCACCAGGGGGCAGACGCTCAGTGCAGGAGCTGCCCTCTAGTGGTCAGTGTGCTCCCACAGCAGGAGCGCCGCTGAGCCAGAAGCCTGGCTTATGGCTGGCGCAACCTCTCCCACCTCTGCAGCAGTGCTACGGAGCTGCGGCAGGGGCAGGCACAGCAGGGCTGGATGAGCGGGGCTGGGATGTGCAGGAGTGGCACCCCGCTCCAGCTTGGGCTCCTCCCTAGCCACCTGCCGCTTTCTGCATTGCTACATCCCTCGGGGGTTGTTGGACTGCTGATTTCAGCCAGATCCCTGAGGAGATCATGCCAAAACCGACAGTCTGACATCCCCTGAGAGGTCCCGGATTGTGAGATGGCACAGGATAGGCTGAGGGACCCCACCAGTGCACGAATTCATGCGCCAGGCCTCTAGTCAAATATAAAATTCACTAGAGCCACTTTGTAACCATAGCTTATGGCAAGCAAGTTTCATAGACGATTGGAAGAGTAAATCACTTTAGTGGATGATATGGGTTGGATATTAAATCATGAGTTTGTAATAGTTGCTGAGGTTTACTTAGCTCTATACCTACACTGTCTCCTTCTTCTTGATTGAACTGAAATAGACTTTGAGATCTTAAGAAAGCTAGTATCAATCCATCCAAGAAATCCAGGCAGCTCTAAAGATTTATTTCTTTGATCCTGCACATAATCTCAGTGTCGCTATTCATTTACCCACTCTCAGTAAGCTGACAGTGCTATAAAATAAAAAGATGTAAAATAGATTGGAGGTCAGATTGACCTTTGTTCTAGTAGTCCATGTTCCTTTTAGCTATATGTATAGTCTTGGTTAAATTGGTTAGCTCTCTGGATCATATTTTCCTCATCTGTAAAACAAAAATATCTCTAGCTTGTCACAATTCTAAAACTAGATATTACATGAAAATTGGTAACACATTTAGCACTTTGGTAGTTCAGATAACCAGGAGAAAGTATATTTTTCTATGGGCCAGAATTGTTTCCACACATAGATCTCTCTCAAGGGGAAAATTAAGAGGAAAGGCTATGATCCATTGTGTTATTAAAGTGATAAAACCTGAGTAACTGTTTTTAGTTTTCTAAGTCTTGTACAAACTATAACAAATTGTACATTATTTTTATCTAGACATTTTTTCAGTTAATGAGATTATGAAGTTAAATCAACTATGATTTTGTTTTTCTCTATTTCTCTCTTTAATTCTGTCAAATTTTGCTTTATGTATTTGAAACTCTATTTTAAAGTATTTGCATTTATGATTATAATGTCTTCCTGATCAACTGATCCATTTATCATTACAAAATGTTCCTCTATATCACTGGTAATACTTTTTATTCCTGGTCATACTGTTTGTTTTGAAATCTATTTGATGTCTTTCCAACCTTCTTACGCTTGCTGTTTCAAGGCCATATCTTTTCCATTCATTTACTTTCAAGCCATCTGAGTCTTGATATTTAAAGTGAGTGTCTTATATTTGGGTCTTGCTTTCTTATTCATTTGGATAATCTCTATCTTTTAATTAGCATTTGGCCCATGTCCATTTAATGTAATAATTGATATGGTTGCATTAAAGTCTACCATTTTATAGTTGTTTTCCTTTGTAGTGGTGTGGTATTTTTGTTCAATACCTTCATTTGGTCTTGAATAATTTTGAGAATGCCATGTTAATTTAACTATTGGCTTTTTAGCTATACTTCTCATTGTTATTTTTAAGTGGTTATTTTATGTCAAAAGTGAGCAGACTCTGTGAAATGCCAGAAAATAAATATTTTAAGCATTGGGGGTTGTATATTCTCTGTCACAAGTACTCAGCTCTGTCATCATAGTTTGAAAGCAGCCACAGACAGTATGTAAAGGAATTAATATGGCTTTGCTTCAAAAAAACTTCATTTGAAAAAACAAGTGATGGTCCAGATTTGACTATAGTTTGCCATCCCTGGTTTAAGGATTACAGTATACATGTTAACTTTCCATTGCCTACTTACAGTTAATATAATACAATTGCTCCTCAACTTACAATGGGATTATGGGTTATATTGTAAACTGAAAATACGCCTAACCTACCAAACATGATAGCTTATCCTAGTGTACCTTAACCATGTTTGGAACACTTAGATTAGCCTACAGTTGGGCAAAATCATCTAACACGGTGAATACACTATAGGATATTGCTTGCTTACCCTCATGATTGCATAGCTGACTGGGAGCTGACACAATGCTGCCCAGCATTATGAGAGGATATCATACTGCATATTGCTAGCCAGGAAAAAGTTAAAAATTCAAAGTACTGAATGCATATCACTTTGATACCATGGTAAAGTCAAAAGTTGTAAGCTGATCTATTGTCAAGTTGGGGACCACATATAATACTTATAGTAATTGTAAGGAACTGAAAACATATAGCTCATTTACTAACATCCAGTATTTTGTGTTCTAATTATACATATATCCCATATTGCAAAGTTAAACCCCATATTGTAAAGTTAAAATTTTGCTTTAATATAAATAAGTTAAATGTATGTTTTAGAGATATTAGAAAAAATAGTGTTATTTTATTTATCCATGCATTTATTATTTTTGGTGTTCTTCATTCCTTTCTGTAGGTCTGCATTTCTAAATGTTGTCATTTCTCTGTAGCCTATAGAACTTCCTTTAGATTCTTATAGTCAAGTTCTGCTACTGATTAATTCTCTTAGTTTTGTTTATGAGAATGTCTCTATTTCATCTTCATTCTTGAAGGATATTTTCACATGATATAAAATTCTGGGTTGATATTTTCTTTTATTTGATTTTATTCAGCACTGAAAAAATTGATATGTCATTTTTCTTTTGACCTCCATTATTTCTACTGAGAAGTCCACACATCTGTATCATTATTCCCCTACAAATAATGTAAAAATTTTTTCTGGCTGCTTTCAAGATTTTCTCTTTATTTTTTTTTTACTTTTACCAATTTGAGTATGATTCGCCTAGATGGTTTTGTTGTTGTTTTTTGTTTGTTTGTTTTGTTGTTTTTTTGCATATAGTGAGCTTGAGGTTTGCTGAGCTTCTTATGTGGATAAATTGGTGTTTTCAGGAAATTGGAAATTTTTCAACTTTGTTTTTTCAGATATTTTTTTTTACCCTCTCTTCTCTCTTCTTTCCTTCTTAAATTCCAATTAAATATACATGTTAAACACTTGATAACATCCCTTAGGTCCCTGAGGTTCTATACATTCATATTCCAACCTTTCTTTTTCCAATTTTCTTTTTTAATTGGATAAGCCCAATCATTCTTTACTCACTTGTTAAGCCTATTGAGTGAAATTTCATTTATGATATTGTAGTTTTACGTTTTATGTCAGATATTTAATTTTTAGTTCTGTAATTTTTTTGAGATTTCCTATTTGTTTATTCTTCATGAATAAACAAATATATTTACATTAATGATCCTATTTAGGATAGCTACTTTAAAATTCTTGTGTGAAAAGCTAACATATGAGTAATTTTGAGTTTTGTTTCCATTAATTGCCATTTCTTATGAATAAGAGGAATTTTTCTGTCCTGTAATTTGGAATTATATCCTGGACATTTTGAATAATGTATTGTAGAGACTCCAAATTCTATTATAATCCTTTGAAAAGTATTTCTTTTTTAAATTTGGCTGGCAATTAATTTGGCTGGATTCTAGGCTCTGGTAGGTGAAAATCTCTTCAGTTTTTTGTTTGTTTGTTTGTTTTTTGTTGGTTTTTTTTTTTTTTTTTAGTCTTGGCTTGGCTGCTTGGAGTCTGCTTCACCATTACATAGTTCAAATATCAGCAAGAGACTTAAGCAGAGTTTATACTCAGGTTTTGAGGCTTCCTCTCTCTAGCTCTCTTTTCCATCATTTTCTAGGAGCTGTCGTCACTCCAAATTCTGCCCTCTGGTTCTCTATGCCAGTGAGACTACAGGTCTCTATCCTGCTTTTAAAAAACCATCCTATATGGCTTACCTTCTGGCTAAAAGTCATTAAAAAATCAGAAACTCACCTAGTGACATTCTCTTCTATGTGTAGACCTCTCCACTCTAGTTTTTGCCTATTTTTGGTCTTTCCTGAAGGCTTTCAGATCTTTTTGAAAAAATTTTTTTTCCTAGATGTATAGTTTTCTGCATATAGGTTGGTTTATAGGAGCTATTTGGCCAATATTAGAAGTGGGAACTCTTAACAGGTCTTTAAATAGAATTTTCTCTGGAGTAACTCAAAATACTTGAGAAAAGTTTATTTCATAATTCTTATAATACAAAAAGAGTGTAGTATTAACTCTATTCTTTCCCCATTCTTCAGATAATGAAGCATAATGCACACAGTTTTAATGATCCTACAGTCAAGGTGTAGCCATGGAAATAATATTTATATGGTCCCTTGCTTATTCTCATAAAAAGTCTTTGAGGATGCTCTATATATTTGTTGAAAGGGGAAAAGGCATTGAATGATTCCTCATTGAAATCAGTAGAAAGCAGTTTGGTATAGAGGAAGAGCATGTCATTGGATCAAGCATACTGGAGGGCAAATATTGGTTCTACCACTTACTAGCTGTTTCCACTTTGCACAAATTATAGGACCTCAGTTTCCCTAGCTTTAAAATGAGATACTTTTTATTGTTATAACGAGTGATGTTTATTATTTGTTTGGCACAGGTTCTCAATAAATTGCAACCATAACAGTCATTATTGTCCTGGTCATCATATTCATAATTGCTGAGTTCAAGTCATGGAGCAAGGAGTTCTACTACAAATAATGTCTTTTCAGTAGCATCTGTAAAGCCTTAAAGGGAATTTTTATTTTGTGCCAGCTTTTGCTTTTCTTCTTCATCTCCAATAAAAATAGAGTCCACTTAAGTCATTTCATAGCTTTGCCAAACAGCTTTTACACACCATTAACAGCATTAAAAGTATATATGAAGCTGATACTGTGTGCAAACACACTTTACAAAGCAAACTAAGCATACATTATTTAAGGTTCTAAATTTTCACTGTGTGTTTCAGTTAGGATCCCTTATGTTGATTCTGTCACTTAATTTAGGAGCCTGGAGTAATGGGTAGCATATGATTTTCATTACTGAAACAGGGTCTTAGTCAGATGGAAGTCCATGATTTTATATATCTTTCTTTCTCCAACAGGAGAACCATGCATAACTAAACATAGCATTAATGATTGTAACTTAGAAGATTGCATGTGGCTAGAAATTTTGAATATCTGTACTTCTAATCTAATATCATATTTTCTCTTAGCTTTTAGTTTTAATATAAATAGTAATTGTGATCCACTGTACAGTTGCCAAGGCCAGTAATATAAAGGAGGCAGATTTCAAATAGACAAGGGCAGTATTTTATACATCACTAGAGGCCCGGTGCACGAAATTCATGCATGGGGGTGGGGGGAAGTCCCTCAGCCTGGCCTGCACTCCGCAATCCGGCGGGATCCCTCTTGCAATCTGGGACCACTGGCTCCTAACCGCTCACCTGCCTGCCTGCCTGATCACCCCTAACCACTTGCCTGCCTACCTGAACGCCCCTAACCACTCGCCTGCCTACCTGATTGCCCCTAACTGCTCATCTGCCTGCCTGATTGCCCCTAACCACCTCTGCCTGCCTGTCTAATCACCCCTAACCACTCTGCCTGCCTGCCTGATTGCCCCTAACCACTCGTCTGCCTGCCTGATTGCCCTAACCATTCTGCCTGCCTGCCTGATCACCCCTAACCACCTCTGCCTTGGCCCCCACCACCACGGCTTCGTCCAGAAGGTCGTCTAGAAAGACGTCTGGAATGACGTCCAGAAGGTCGTTCGGCTGTACAGTCTAATTAGCGTATTACGCTTTTATTATTATAGATTAGTAGTCATCAGTGTTTGGTACACAGTACATGCTCAGTAAATCTTTGAATAGGAGAATCAAAGAGGCCCTGGAATTTCATTTAGAGTTTTATGTAACATTTTAGAATATACCCCCACATATAAGAGACAATTTTATGGTAGCATAGATGGCATGGTATAAAATGTGGGGGGCAGAAGACATTGGAGGGCTCCAATTTGGTCATTTAGGGCCGGAAATCCTTGTGCTTTACCAGGTTTTTAGGGCATAAATCATACTTTTTAGCACATTATAAGGATATTATTTTTGGATAAAAGTACTTTTGTCAATATTAAAGTTATTAAAAATCCAAATTTAAAATAATTATGCATAATTATTAGCCACTGTATAGGAAGGGAATTAAATACAAAAATACACATAGATGTAAAGAATTCCTAAAGCTTGACCACAACAAAAATGTGACAAAAAATGGCACAGAACTTGAATAGACATTATTCCAAAGAAGATATACAAATGGCCAATAAGCACATGAATAGATGCTCAATATTAGTAGTCATTAGAGAAATGCAAATCAAAACCACAATGAAATACCACTTCCTACCCATTAGGATGATTATTATTTTTTAAAAAAAGAAAAGAAAAGAAACACACACACATGCACATAGAAATTAACCAATGTTGGCAAGAATGTGGAGAAATTGGAATCCTTGTGCATTGCCGATGGGGATGTTAAATAGTGGGGCTGTAGTAGAAAACTATTTGGTTGTTCTTCAAACATTTAAAGATAGAATTACTGCTTAATCTATCAATTTCACTTCTAGGTATATATCCAAAAGTATTGAAAGTAGGGACTCAAAGTGATATTTGTACAACAGTGTTTATAGGAGCATTATTCACAGTGGCCAAGAGGTAGAAATCCCAAATGTTCACTGACACATAAATGTAGTATATACATATTATGGAATGTTATTCAACCTTGAAAAGAAAGGAAGTCTTAACGCATGTTACAACATGGATAAGCCTTGAAGACATTATGCTACATAAAATAAGGCAGACACAAAAGAACAAATATATTCGTTCTTATATGAGGTAGTCAAATTCAGAGACTGAAACTAGAATGTTGGTTGCCATAGGAATGGAGGAGGGAGATAAGCAATTATTTAATGAGTATAGAGTTTCAGTTTGGAAAGGTAAAATGGTCTAAGGATAGATGGTGGTAATGGTAGCACAACAGTGTGAATGTACTTAAAGCCACGGAACTGTACATTTAAAAATTGTTAAAATGGTGAATTTTATGTTATGTATATTTTACCACAAAAGGAAAAAAGAAAGAATAGAAGTAGTCAGAAAAGTTAGGTGGGACAATTGTAAAAGAAAGCTGAGGTAAGGGAACTGTCTAAAACATTTTCAAGCATCACTTTTTCTTCAAGTTTGCCTTTGTTTGTTTAGGGTTCACAAGGACCTCCTGGGAGTACTGGAGACAGGGGACTTGCAGGAGAACCAGTAAGTTTATCTTTATACTTTTCAATAATACAAAACATTGCATCATAATTAGATAAATATAATTTAATTATAGAGTGTCCATGGAAAATGAATTGTGAAAAAGACCTTGTCACACCTAGTTTCTCATAATTTATTTTTTATTGCCTATGAAGTCATTCTTCTGGGATGGTATCAGATGTAATATGTTGTAACAAGCTTCTAAGACTTACAATATAGTCTTTCAAACTACTGGGTTGATCTTATGCGTCAGTTGACACAATGGTTTACAGGTGGCCTTTGCGTAATTTTTTAGCTAGTAACAAGTGGAAAATTCTAAAAGTCAAAAAGTTATTCTTATCAATCTTCTTTCCTGGTATAATGTCTGGTACATTATATCTACTTAATGCATGTTTATTAAAATTAAATTGACCAAAGTTCATATCCCAGTGATATAATCATTCAGCCAGGAATATTAGATGGAGTGAGGTGGGATGAGAATTTAGTCTTAATAAAGAACACATTTAAATAAAAATAAGTGTGTTAATAGAGCTATGACAACAGCAGAGACAATATATTCAACCTTATACAAGAAAAGATTTGTTATTGTACTCATAAATGACTAAATGGCTTAAAAGTACCTAAACATTGACATCCAGGTTATAGGGTTAGTGAGGTTGGTAAATAAAATATAAATCAATTTACAATGGATAAAATAGGTTTTGTTTCATATATTTGAGCTGCCTGGCCAAGACATAGTACAGAAAAGAACAGAAGTAAATTGGTAAAATGAAGGATGCAGAAGAGATATTGAAACATGTTTATATTTTGAGAATAATAAAATAGAAGACTACAACTTTTCTATAGCCAACACCTATTAGAGTTGTCTCTTTTTCTTAAACAAGATTCAAAACTGGTTTATTCATTGCAATACAAGTATTGGGATTTGGATAGTTTATCATTCATTCATTCAATCAACAAATATTTATTAAGAACCTGCACGTGGATTATAGTGGTAACCGTGGAGTTTTCAGCCTAACGATAGAATTACACATTAATTAATAACAGAGATAAATGGATAATTTAAAAGTGAGATGAATGCTCTAACGTATAGGAATTCAGTTCGAAGAGACACTATCCTAACTGGGGGTAGGAAAAGCTTCCATGAGAAGGAGTATTGAGCTGTGATCTCCAGGATGAATAGTAGTTACTTAGGCAAACACGGGAAAATGTCATTCTAGAGAGAAGTCATGCACCTGGGAAGAAGCACTACATATTTATTTAAAGATCTAAAAAAGGCCAACATGGCTGTGGCACAGAGTCAGATAAAAGTAAGTGCAAGATGAGGATGGAAAGGGAGGCAGGGGACAAAATACATGCAGCTTTATGAGCCATGTTCACAGGATTTGTTTTTTATCCTGTGAACAAAGGGATGCCATTGAAAGGATGGGCTAGTTTTATGACCCAATTATTACTTTGTTAAAATCACTCAAACCACAAGGTAGAGATCAAACTGTAATGGGCCAAGAATGGAAAAGAGTGTTGCTTTCTGTTGCAAAATAAGAGATGGCAGAACCCTTTAGATTAGCAGAGAAAAGAAGTGCACAGGTATTAAAAAAATTCAAAGGGAGATAAAATCAACAGGAGATAGGTATCCTGTATGTGAAGTACAATTCCTACATTTCTGGCTTGAAGAATTAATGAGATAATTATATCACTTACTAAAACTGGAAATAACAACAGAAAGCTAGGTTTGATAATGGCAGGTTATAAGTGCAGTTTAGCTATGTTAGATTTGAGGTGTCTTTGACAAATGTGAAGTTGAAAATTAGATATGGAGCTCAGAGCAGAGGAATTTACTGAAGTTAAAAATATTGGAGTCATTGACCTAGGGAGAGAATATTGGATTGAGAGAAGAAAAAGATCTGAGCTTTAAAAAGAAAAAGTCAACATTTAATAAATGTTCATAGAAGAGGAATGAACTGAAGAGGAGACTGAAAGAGGTGAGAGGAAAATCAAATACATACCCAGTTTAGCTCTAATCAGAACCTATCTTAAAATCTTCATGACAATCTTAGATTCCTTTAGAAGTATGTAGGCAAAACTGTGAATCTATATGCAATTATAGCTCTCAGATCAGTCACTTCTTTTTGTAGACAAAGTTGTGTTGAAACACATCTATAACCGTTCACATATACGTATGGCTCTTTTCTTACTACAACAGCAAAGTTGACATATGTGACAGAGACCATCTGACCCACACCTTAAAATAACTTATTATCTGGCCTTTTAGGAAAAGGTTTGCTGATTTCTAATCTAGATTTTAATCACATTTGAAAAAAAAAAAAAGTCCAATCAATGCAAAACTGATGCATACTGTAATCCTGGATTTGTACAGTGCACAACTGTATAAAATTGCCTTCAATAAGAAGAAACATATGATGAAAATTTCAAAAATTTGCTAAGCAACCTAGAAACTAACTTAAGTAGAAAAGAAAATTATTATCTAAATAGAAGACTGAAAAGTAAATAATGATTTTTTTGAAAATAAATAAATAAAGCCATGGCTTTTGTGGCTCAGTTGGTTGGGGTTCCTTCCATCCATCAAAAGGTCACTGGTTCAATTCCTGGTCAGGGCACATGCCTGGTTTCGGTCTTAATTCCCAGTAGACAGTCAATTGATATTTCTCTCTCACATTGATGTTTCATTCTCTCTCCTTCTCCCTTCCTCTCCCTCTCAAAGCAATAAAAACATATTTAAATAAATAAATAAATAATAAATAAATATATTTGAAAGTTGTAATAGAAGGCGAATACTTTTAAAATTAATGTATTAGATTTAACTCAATCCTATTTCCTATTATAAATTGGGTATAGTGGCTTGGTTTAATTATTCCAATGATAAATATGAATGAGCAGGAAAAATAGCTTAATATTTTTAACCTGGCATAAAATATAATGTTACTAGAATTTAAAAGGGATAATAAAGTTAGAACAATTAAATTCTGTGACACTGATCCAAATATAGACATACAGATATGTGGAACAGAAAAATATATAGATTTTAATATTTGATTAGGACAATGTTACAATCAGTAGTGAAGTGCTGTGCTGAATGCTGAGGGGCTCATTAACACATGAAGAGTTCACAGGTATTAGAAATATAGGTAACACATTAGCAAATCATTTCCACATAATAGGATAAATACTAAAACAGAGGTTAGTTTACAGTCCTAAAATAGCACAAAGGAAATGCACTTAGCCCAACATGCATTTCCCAGAAGATTTGGTTTAGGAAATGGCAATTGGTTTGAATCTTGGATAAATTAGAGGTAGCCAAAAGAATATGACAGAAAAAATACTCTAGAGTGAATGGAACAGCATGAGGAATGACATGAGGGCATAGAACAACTTGATCTCTTCAAGGAAGCCTTAAGCAGTTATATTCACTACAACATAAAGTGAAAAATAGGAAGTGTCGATATTTGGTTAAGAGGTGTTTTTTTTTAATTGAATTTATTGGGGTGACATTGGTTTGCAAAACCATACAGGTTCCAAGTTTACAACTCAATAAAACATCATCTGGATTCTCACCTCAAACTGTACATAAAAACAATGGCCTAAATAAATAAATATTTTTAAATCATAAGTAATAAGAGTAGGTGAAAGAATTTTTAAATAGGAATAAATGTTTAAATTTAAATATGATTTAAAAAGTAATAAAAGGCTAACAGCTTTATTTAATTATATACAAATTTAAAACTTTTCTCATCCTAATTTTTAAAAAAGTTCAAAGATTTAAGGAGATACACCAAAGTATTAAGTGGTTCCAGTGGTTATTTGGGGTAATTTTTAATTTTGTGTATTTACAAGTGTTCTATAGTGATAATGTTTGAGAGTAGGTGGAAGGTTATCCTTAACAATATATTTTAAAAATAAAATGACACGCTACAAAATGGGTGGAAATTAGCAGTAAAATAGGACAGATTAATACATAATGTCCCTAATATACAAATATTTTTAAGTGACTCCCAAAATATTGGGCAAATAGCAATATTAAAATATTTCCTCTAATTAATCCACATATTCCAAAATATGTGGGCAAAGGGCATGATCAAGCAACACATAGAATATCATGAATAGCTGATAAACAAATGGAAAAAAAATATATTACACCAAACTCATTAAATATAGACACTTTTAAAGTACTCGATTATCCATCATATTAACAAAGAATTTTAAAAGTATTCTGTGTTGGTATGCATTCAAAGAAATAGGTTTTAATATTTCTATGTTGCTTTTTTAATGTTAATTATTGCAACCTTTTAAGAAATTGACTTGACTTTTGACAAAATAATACATTTCAGACTGTGTTCTAAGGGGAAAAGTGAAGACTATACACAAAGACTTGTGCACAAAGATGTTTCTCTCAGTGTGTTTATAATAGGATAGGAATACATTCTGAGAATAATCCATAATTTTTAAATATTACTCATAGTCTTATCTAATAAGGCGGGAATATGCAAATTGACTGTCACACAGTGACAGACAAGATGGCTGTGCCCACAGCGGAGGCTAAGTTCCCGTAGCGAGCCTTAATGAGCAATCAGCAGGGACCTGAGGCTGAGCCTCCCGCATGGTGGGGCTTGACAGGGGACCTCAGGCCATGCCCCTTCAGGCGAGGGGCACAGCCTGAAGTCCCCTGTCAAGCCCTGCTAAGCTGGGGGACCTCAGGCCGCACCCTCTGCCCAACAGGGCTTTGACAGGGGACCTCAGGCCACATTCCCCACCTGGTGGAGTTGACCTGGGAC